TACTAAATTACCTCTTCAGATTTTAATACTCTGGAATGGAGGATAAGATTTTAAATTAAATAAATAATGTACTTTGCAGCTTTTGGAGGAGTATGCAGGTGCTTGCCCAAACTCTCGTCGAGGAACTCTGTTGGACGTGTGGTCTGTGCATCGTCCTCAAGACAAGATCAGGTACCTGGCGGATTATTCTTTATGTGCTTCGTCACCATTTTGATGTGTTTTGCAAGTAATCAATAGGATGAACAATAGGGAAGTTTTTAAGGTTAATTATGTGATCTGTTTTCAGTTGAACTAGTTTCTAGACATGGAGCATAATACCAATTTAGAGTAATCTTGTGATATAATAGAGTTCTCATATTATAACTTACAGTATAGAGTAATCATATAGAGCAGAAGCACTTTATTGTATCATCTTGAATATTAAGCATGAAATAAAACGGCATTATTTCTAACAGAGCGGAAGAGCATGCAAAGCTGGACTACCGCAAGCTGCTCTGGTACGGAGTTAACGTGGCTCAGATGGCTGCCGTACTGCAACATGGATTACGAATCACGCCATTTTCTGGGGGAAGCTTGGGCAAGGGGATTTATTTAACTCCAGAACATGCAAAGGCTTCATGGAATGGTAAGGCAGTCAATAAAGCTCTTGCATGCAACAAAAGATTTTTAGAAAATTTAATATTTAAAAATTTTCATTGCATGGAGGAATGAATGGAACTTGTGTGGATTATGTTATATATTACTAGTAATCCTTTCCTTTATAAGATTTGTCTCCAGTGATTTGTCATTGTGATTTTTTTTCAGAGTAGGATAAAAAGTATTAAGAATTAATTAAAACACCATATGATTTATTCACTTTGATAAACTAACCAGTCATCCTTTAAAACATAATGATTTAGCTCAAAGGAACACATCTAACTGACTGGTTGAAAGTAGGAAAGTGATGGCTCGTGCTCAGACCAGAGCCAGTACTACAGTGTTCTTTCAGTCTCATGAGCAATGGCTTTGCTGGCATATGTGTAATCCATTATTATGCCTGTAGCAAGTCAAGTATACCTTCTGCTACGGGAAAAAGAAAATGCTTCACTTACTGTAAAAACACATGAAGTGGATTGAAAAGAGTTATGTCCACCTTTCTTGTGAGAGTATATTTTGTGTTCTGGGTGATGACAATATAGAATTATCACCCTTTTCTGAGATATTCATAGTGTTACACATATAAAAGACATAAGATTATACTAGCTGTCACATCTGTGATTTAGATCAGAAAGAAAACAAATCAGAATAGAGGAATTGCTCCATCTATTATTCAGTAAACATTATATGAAGCCTTTTTGTATTGATATAATCTGTTTGTGAATCCTTCATTGACGAAGTACCTCTAGAGTTGTAATCAGCTTAGAATACCAACAATTTAGTATAAAATGCAACTGGGGCACTTAATCTTAAACAAGTCTGCCTATAATGATGATAAAAATTATCACCCTTGAATTATCTTATTTCAGTTGCAAGACTAATGATACCCTAAAATGCTTGACTTTTCTAGTTTGTCTAGTATTATCATCCAACTATTCTTATCAAAAGTTATGTTTTTTGCTGGTATAAATTAATATGTTTTTTTTTTTTTCATTTCAGTGGGTGTTCACTGGGGAAAATATGAAGATGAACGGAATGTTGGTTTCATGTTCCTTGTGGAGACTGCACTTGGCAGAATGAGGTACATCAAAATGGGTAACAGTTCGCTGACCAGACCACCGGATGGCTTCAATTCTATAGCTGCTAAGGGAAGATTAGAACCAGGTATGCTTCACAATCTATGGTGTTATATATGCATCCTGTAAATACTCACTCACTGGTGAATTTAGCAGTCATTTTATAATTTGATATTGGTTACATTGACAACAGAAAGATATAAGCCAGGCTTATTTCATAGCATGTGGTATTTCAGCATCCTATTTAACTATTTAACTGTTTTTGCACACATTTCATTAGGTAAAACTATGTGTGCATAGAAATTAATAGCTTGTGAATGGAAATACACGAGTAAAAGTGGACTGTATTTCATGACTTTACTTCCACTGAATTGATAACCTACTAATATTTTATTGGCAGATCCATCAAATGATGAGATGAGAAAATTTGATGGCAAGAGAGTTGTGGTACCCATTGGACCTCCTGTGCCGCAGAAAGAATTTGAGGCAAGCGGCTTCCTACAGAGCCAATATGTGGTCTATGATGAAGGACAGGTGCAGCTTCGATATCTTACAAAGTTTTCATTTGCTTAAGAGATAAATCCTGTGATATATATATAGACGTCTGGTGTGCTTTTTTTTTTGTTGATGTTAGGAGTCTTCTATTTTTTTGCTCTATATATTTATTTGATTTTTTACTTCTATCAAGCATTTGATAAATATTCCATAGATCTGATAAATCCAGAGTTATTTATTTATCCATAGCATATACTGTTCATGCATATTGTTAATTATCATGGGAAGATAATGCACAAAATGTATTTCATGACATGTTCAATCTTGTGTTTATTGTATACATAACACAAACACACACACACTCTCTCACATAGATATGTTATTATTAATATCCTGGCATTTTTAGTGTTTATTTTGAATTGTTATCAAGAAAAATATGCCTTAGTATGCATACTTACATTCTCTCTCTCTCATTTTCATATAGATTTTCATTAAAAAAGTAAACAGTGTTGTGTATATAGTCAGTGCGTGTACTATGTAGTGGTAGTCCTCTTTAATTCATTTTTATTTCATAGTTTCCATTATCTTTTTTATTGTATAATATTTATTGCCATCTCAAAAAGTGTTAAAAAGGAAGTTCAATAACAGCTGGTGAAGGACCAATAGGGTGCAGAGATAGCCAAAGACAAGGGACCAAGGTGTAAGTAAAAGTAAACAAGGCCAGTATTGCAGTCTGGAATATCTGTTCTGACAATACATTGAGATTGTATTGAAAACTGTTGCAATGTGGAAAGGGGGGCAAAAAACGAAAGAAATCTCATAGCAGAAGCACTAAAATTATGCTCTTATATGTTACTGGTGTGTATGAAAGTAATTGAGCATGTGATTTAAATCATTACATGTTTGTTTTTACAATAAACTATTGTGTTTGTAAATTCACAAGTTGCAAATGTAGGGGTTAAAGAATATTTTGTTCCTCATGTGTTGTTAATTATTCAGTTATGACTTTTTTTTCCATTTTCATGGTATGTTGATTATTACTTTTCAGGATATGTTTATGTTCCAAGGGTTTTTTTTTCCCCCCACAGTGTTCTCTAGCACCATGAATAATATCAAAAGTAGATAATACTGAAAAGATTTTTGTAGTATTACCGAAAATTAGTTGAAAGGACAGGTGTCAGATGGGATCTCATGAGCTTCTTTTCTTTTATGTTTGTGATAGCGTATCATTATGATAATAAAGTTAACAGAAGAGTAAACAACTATACATTTATACCAATCTTTCTTCATTCTGTCTTCCCTTTTCTTCATATATCTTGTATTTTTGCCTTGGATTTTAGAAAAAGAAACAAACAACAGTGTAAAGGAATCTAAAAAAAAAAAAAAACTTTTTGTGATCAGCCTGATTTTATAAAAAAAAAAAAAAAAAATTATTGCTCTCTTAAGGGATACTCTTAGGTAATGTGAAGAGATTATGCTAATGATGACAAATACTGCTGCGTCTATTCTTTACAATTATGCAATTAAATTTATTATGGTTTAGGCAGTCCTTTATAATCTGACTATTAAGTCAAGCATCTAGAAGTTGTCGTCTGTAATTTTACCAACTAGTATATTAGACTGCTGGTGACATTGATTTCAAGATAGAAGAAGTATTATGACAAAAGAAAAAAATATATATGTATTTAAAATTACTTTTCTTAACAAAAAAAAAAATGCTTCTGTAATGGAATTACTCAATTCACTCAGAAAATTTATAAAAAAAAAAAACAAAAAAACTTGCACACCCGGACACACACACACCTGAAGTATATATATTCCTATTCGCCTTAACATATATGAACATAATGACAAGCCCTTCAACTGTGCGAGCAGCTGTTGTCCATCCTTGACTAGACTCCCTCAGGTTCGTGGCAAGGAGACACAGGGGACTGGGAACTTTGCATTCGTCGTCCGAGATGAAGTAGAAGTGCTCATAGGTTATAGCACTGCACCTGTGTGAAAATCATGATAGATTAACAAAGAATCCTTAAAAAATAATTATATAATATATATATATATATATATATATATATAATATATATATATAATATTATATATATATCATATATTATATTAATATATATATATACTATATATATATTTCATTATTTCTTCCTGATAATTGGCTCACTAATGGTAATCATTAAGTTAATTCTTGTGGGCTTACCATCCCTGGCTGCGTTGCTTGGGTGCCTGAATGTAGTTGTAACACGGGGCTTCAGGGAGGGCAGTTGGAGGGTTGCTGAAGGGGTCTGTGTGAGGAGGCGACCGAGGCACACAGGAGCTGCTGTACCTGTTGACAATGAGAATGAGATGGTAACGTTTATTAAAGTTATTTCAGTTTCAATTGTATTCAGTTTCAAGAGATTTGGTTGTCTGGAGTCTATTCTGGCCATTACAAAACACTGAATAATTCTATGACTAACTACAGTTTAATCAGACTTGATAAATTACTCTAAACTGGAGTTCAGCCTAACCTCACTGGTGTGTCATGAACACAATCACAGTAATGTGTCCACAAGATAAAAATGAAACAGCCACTCAATTCTATTTAGTATTGTGGCTCACCTTTTCACATTAGAGAAGTATTGCTGTTTGAAGTCTTACATTATTAAATCAATAATAAGTGTGACCACTTCACTTACTTCTCAGCCCAATAGGGAGATCCCAAAGGCATAGGAGAGTCGTCACTGGCCCATGCCCAAGCATTGACGTCCATATCATACCTCCCACCGATCCAGAAGTCAGTCGTTAGTACTGCAGTGTATTCACAGTTTTTTAGTTTCATGGCATATTTACAATTTACTGTGCCTTGAATAATATACTGATCCAAAGTTTTGGTGATAGTTTTCTTGCTGGACAGTGTGTGTTGTAGTTAGTCTTATTCAAGTACTCAGTATGTAAGGTGCCTACCTGGACAGAAGTACTGAACAATTAGAATTTCTGTAAATTTTATTTCATCAGAAAATATGGGTTCCTCGGTTTGTATATTACTCATTACAAAAATAAGGGGCAAATGCTGAAAACATAGAACTTCCACGACTCATAACTCACAAGTTTCCTTTAGATAGTCAATTACAAGTCCAAATTCTTGTAGGCTCTTGAATGTCACCAAGTCACCAAAAATGGATTTGCAAAACTGTCGAGCTTCCGGCCACTGAACCTAAAGAAGAAAAAAATTACGAGATTTACAATATTACTTAAACAATGACTCCATGATCTGTCAAAAGAAAAAGAGATCTCAACCTTTAATATTTCGACATATACCAGTCTACTACAAATCATTGGTAATTTTTTAAAATTCAAATTCACCAAATCATCCATGGGTTCCATTACTATACAAGTAAATTACAAGTCAAGTCTACCAACACACTTTAAAGCCTTTATAACTACCTTACCTTCGCAAGGGAAAAGAAGGCTAAGCATTTACCACCGACTCGTCTGTATAGCATGGGACATTCAGGGTATTTTTGAGTAAGTGTTGAATTCACCACAGCGGTCATCAAAGCCACGGCCTCATCCGCTGAAAATGATATTATTGATTACAAATAATGCCCGTGTACCTGCAGTCTCTTATTCAAGTTAGTAATACAAACAGTATATGAAATGGAGTTATACTATACTTTTTTTATTAACTTACAGAGAGTCATCCCTTCAACTTCTTCCTTTATGATCAACTGCCTCTGTTTCACCATCTGGATTGAATAAAAAGAAGGTATATATATTTATATAGATACTTATATATGTGAATGCATGTGTATGTGAATGTATTTGAATGTATGTGTATGTGAATGTGAATGTGTGTAAATGTGTATGTGAATGTATATGTGTATGTGAATGCGAATTTGAATACTAATGTGAATGCATGTGTGTGTAAATATTCTAGATGCATGTGTAGAGTGTACCACATGTCAAACAGCTAAGCCCATGTAAATAGATAGGGTCCTGTCAGAAACGTAAAATCAGGCAAAAATGATTATGCTTCTCTTTTCTAAATTCACATCAGAAGCAGTTTTCATGCACCTGTATATTCATCTATTTGTCTATCTATTCCTCTGATTATTTTGGAAACCTGAAAACTCAAAAGGTATTAAAACAAGCGAAAAATAGTCGATATTTGAATGATTCTGCAGATTATGATGGTATTTACATTCGGATAAAACAATGGAATATGGAATATAAAACAAGACAAAATGAAGAAAGCAAAGTCTTAACTAAAATAAAAATGAAAAAAGGGCAGGCCTACAGAAAAAAATATCAAATAGAAGAAAAAATAGCCTCAAAACAATATGTAATGAGAAGAAAGGTTAAAATGACCTGAATAATATTTAGAGACGATTTACGCTTCGACCCTTGTTCAGAAGCACCAAGAATACCGGTGGAGCATACAAATATGCTAGAAACAGCAGCAGAGGAGAACCTTTTAAAAGACTAAAATGTACTAAAGGTATTGAATTCGGTTGCTCTCAATTTCATTTATAGAGGGATCGGGAATGGACTTCGCGTAATGCTTGCAAATTTATTATCTGTTTAACCAAGCAGGAAATAACCGATGGCTTGTGCAATGCAATATTCTCTGTGTATGTGTGAGAGTGTGATGTGACTTGACTGACTGAGTGAGTGAGTGAGTGAGTGAGTGAGTGAGTGAGTGAGTGAGTGAGTGAGTGAGTGAGTGAGTGAGTGAGTGAGTGAGTGAGTGAGTGAGTGAGTGAGTGAGTGAGTGAGTGATGGTGAGTGTGTGTTGTTTTGTTTTCGGCTGTTCTGGGCGGCGTTTAGGCATCATTAGAATAATTTACATGCTGATCAAATGAAACTTGAGATAAATATCCAAAATACCATCCATGATCAAAGCACGACGATAGTGGTATCGAATGATTTCCCCTCCTCTTTACTACCCATATGTATAGAGAGATAATGCCTTGGAAACCTTTCCAATATCCACAATCTTGGCCCCAACAGTAGGTGAAGGGTAATAAATGATTACCAAGAAAATTGCGGGGGTAAGACATGAAGAATATACAGCAAAGTCGTCTATACATAATAAAATGCAGGTGGCAACCTTCACCCAATGAGGAGCCCCGACAAGTCTGTACGGCAGAATAGAGCCTATGACAGACTTGGCACACGACGGTCCGTATGTCGGTGTACGCTATACCCCTTCCTCCCTCTCCCTCTTCTCTCTCATCTCTCTCTCTTCTCTCTCTCTCTCTCTCCCTCTCTCCCCCCTCTCTCTCTCTCTCCCTCTCTCCCC